ACCTCCATAAAAATAATAGCAATCACATCATACAGTATATATCTAATAGAATAATCACACCTCCATAAAAATAATAGCAATCACACCAGACAGTATATTATCCAATAGAATAATCACACCTCCATAGAAATAATAGCAATCACATCATACAGTATATTATCTAATAGAATAATCACACCTCCATAAAAATAATAGCAGTCAAATCATACAGTATATTATCCAATAGAATAAGCACACCTCCATGTAAATAATAGCAATCACATCATACAGTATATTATCCAATAGAATAAGCACACCTCCATAAAAATAATAGCAATCACAGCATACAGTATATTATCCAATGGAATAATCACACCTCCATAGAAATAATAGCAATCACAGCATACAGTATATTATCTAATAGAATAATCACACCTCCATAGAAATAATAGCAATCACATCATACAGTATATTATCCAATAGAATACTACACCTCCATAAAAATAATAGCAGTCACATCATACAGTATATTATCCAATGGAATAATCAAACCTCCATAGAAATAATAGCAATCACATCATACAGTATATTATCCAATAGAATAATCACACCTCCATAAAAATAATAGCAGTCACATCATACAGTATATTATCCAATGGAATAATCACACCTCCGTAAAAATAATAGCAGTCACATCATACAGTATATTATCCAATAGAATAATCACACCTCCATAGAAATAATAGCAATCACATCATACAGTATATTATCCAATAGAATACTACACCTCCATAAAAATAATAGCAGTCGCATCATATAGTATATAATCCAATAGAATAAGCACACCTCCATGTAAATAATAGCAATCACATCATACAGTATATTATCCAATAGAATAATCACACCTCCATAAAAATAATAGCAGTCACACCATACAGTATATTATCCAATGGAATAATCACACCTCCATAGAAATAATAGCAATCACATCATACAGTATATTATCCAATAGAATACTACACCTCCATAAAAATAATAGCAGTCACATCATACAGTATATTATCCAATAGAATAAGCACACCTCCATGTAAATAATAGCAGTCACATCATACAGTATATTATCCAATAGAATAATCACACCTCCATAAAAATAATAGCAATCACATCATACAGTATATTATCCAATAGAATAATCACACCTCCATAAAAATAATAGCAGTCACATCATACAGTATATTATCCAATGGAATAATCACACCTCCATAGAAATAATAGCAATCACATCATACAGTATATTATCCAATAGAATACTACACCTCCATAAAAATAATAGCAGTCACATCATACAGTATATTATCCAATAGAATAATCACACCTCCGTAAAAATAATAGCAATCACACCATACAGTATATTATCCAATAGAATAATCACACCTCCATAGAAATAATAGCAATCACATCATACAGTATATTATCCAATAGAATACTACACCTCCATAAAAATAATAGCAGTCACATCATACAGTATATTATCCAATGGAATAATCAAACCTCCATAGAAATAATAGCAATCACATCATACAGTATATTATCTAATAGAATAATCACACCTCCATAAAAATAATAGCAATCACACCATACAGTATATTATCCAATAGAATAATCACACCTCCATAGAAATAATAGCAATCACATCATACAGTATATTATCCAATAGAATACTACACCTCCATAAAAATAATAGCAGTCACATCATACAGTATATTATCCAATGAATAATCAAACCTCCATAGAAATAATAGCAATCACATCATACAGTATATTATCTAAAAGAATAATCACACCTCCATAAAAATAATAGCAATCACATCATACAGTATATTATCCAATAGAATAATCACACCTCCATAAAAATAATAGCAGTCACATCATATAGTATATAATCCAATAGAATAAGCACACCTCCATGTAAATAATAGCAATCACATCATACAGTGTATTATCCAATAGAATAAGCACACCTCCATGTAAATAATAGCAATCACATCATACAGTGTATTATCCAAAAGAATAAGCACACCTCCATGTAAATAATAGCAATCACATCATACAGTATATTATCCAATAGAATAATCACACCTCCATAAAAATAATAGCAGTCACATCATACAGTATATTATCCAATGGAATAATCACACCTCCATAGAAATAATAGCAATCACATCATACAGTATATTATCCAATAGAATACTACACCTCCATAAAAATAATAGCAGTCACATCATACAGTATATTATCCAATAGAATAAGCACACTTCCATGTAAATAATAGCAGTCACATCATACTGTATATTATCCAATAGAATAAGCACACCTCCATAAAAACAATAGCAGTCGCATCATATAGTATATAATCCAATAGAATAAGCACACTTCCATGTAAATAATAGCAGTCACATCATACAGTGTATTATCCAATAGAATAAGCACACCTCCATAAAAATAATAGCAATCACATCATACAGTATATTATCCAATAGAATAAGCACACCTCCATAAAAACAATAGCAGTCGCATCATATAGTATATAATCCAATAGAATAAGCACACTTCCATGTAAATAATAGCAGTCACATCATACAGTATATTATCCAATGGAATAATCAAACCTCCATAAAAATAATAGCAGTCACATCATACAGTATATTATCCAATAGAATAATCACACCTCCATGTAAATAATAGCAATCACATCATACAGTATATTATCCAGTAGAATAAGCACACCTCCATGTAAATAATAGCAGTCACATCATACAGTATATTATCCAATAGAATAAGCACACCTCCATGAAAATAATAGCAGTCACATCATACAGTATATTATCCAATAGAATAAGCACACCTCCATGTAAATAATAGCAGTCACATCATTCAGTGTATTATCCAATAGAATAAGCACACCTCCATGTAAATAATAGCAATCACATCATACAGTATATTATCCAATAGAATAAGCACACCTCCATGTAAATAATAGCAGTCACATCATACAGTGTATTATCCAATAGAATAAGCACATCTCCATGTAAATAATAGCAGACACATCATACAGTATATTAGCCAATAGAATAAGCACACCTCCATGTAAATGATAGCAGTCACATCATACAGTATATTATCCAATTAGAGTAGAATGGAAACTCTTTTGTGTTTCAAGCATACGTTCCTCACTATATGTCTGTCTTCTTTTGTTTGGATCCATATCGAACACATATAAAATATTACTTACTCAGCCTCCAAAATAAGGTGTGCAATTACACCCTCTGCAGGCGGAGCCTGTCGGAAATGTTTGGTGCGGCACAATTGATCGTTTGGTGCGGATGCAACGGTCATTTTTATATATGTGTAGTTGACATAAAATATCAATAAAATGTGAAAAGAGTAGTACAATTCTTTCTATAGCGACCCAATATACATTAAACATCAGTTTAACGTGCTTTTTGGCACAAACATGAAAACACAATTCCTAGCATGTATAGAGGTTCTGAAAACAGTTGGCGTGGTCCAAGTACTCTCACAACACATAATATTATCAAACAATAAAGTTCCTTGTTTACTAAGCGTCTGCCGCACCGAATATATGATGACCATTTCATTTTTATATAATCACACAGACACTAGCTCCCAAAAGCAAAACATAATTTGTATGGATTGTGCGTCTTGAACAACATTTTTTATGAATGATGGGGGCGCTGTATAAAAACGACAATTTTAAAATATATATAGGTCTGGGATAGATTTAATCGCTATTTAAGTAATCTGCATTTTGTAAGACCTATCTGGACTGGGATTTTAAGAGAAGAAAAGTGTTCTCATTGCTGAATTTTGTTTTGATTCTTCATTTATAAGTCATGTGATCTATATTCAGAGTGATTGATTCAGAGCTTTGACCCTCTTAATGTTAAAAATTGGAGTCAGGTAGTACAGGTTCCCAACTCGACATTCGACCTTGATCTTGATCGACAACGTTATTTTAATTGACAATGGATTCACAATCAGTGGTCCAAAATATTTGAACTGAAATCATGTCTAAATCACTTCTTGTGTGTTTTGATTTTTGTTTGGACGTAATTCCACAACTCCCGATTCAAATTTTCATGTGAAAAAATGGCGGCTGTTTCTTTTTGATACTTATAATCAAACATCTATATATAGTAGAATATCGAGTTGAAACCCTGGGAGTCAATCCTCCTTGCTGTGGAGCAATTCTACACACACTTTGAGGATCATCCAGGCCAGTTCACAATTCTAAAACAGGATTGTAAATTATCATGAGTGTTGCTAGTTGTGGAGAAATAAAGTGATAGACAAGCACATCATTTTTCTTTTTACATATAATTCTGTAACAAATCAGGAGTATTAAGGACTATATTGGGGTGACACCTTTCGGTGGAATTATATGGAACCTCACACATTAGTATTTCAAGATCAACCAAATAGAAAAGCCATTAACACAGGGCAACTCTTAATCAACTTGAACACATTTTTCACAAAGATAGCTTTTGGAAACACATGAAGAGAGGTTTAGGTTTAGATGACTTCGATACTGATTCTCTGGAGAACGACGAACCATCTTTATTGGTATTGAGGTAATTTTTCACGCCTTTCTTGTGTATAGAAACCATCAACTACTATATGGTGTATTACACACGGTATAGGAAATTACCATGGGTAGAGCTAGCATGTAATGTAGTTTTGATAAGGAAAGAGGATGAACTGGTATATTAAACAAGGTATGTGATTATTTCTAAACAGCGATAACCGTCCCTTAATGATAATGAGTTAAAGGCCCCATGCAACTTTTCATTTTTATTTTTATCCAATACAATAAAATACAAATAGCATTTGAACGGGGAGACGCTCGGCAAATTGTCAAAAGTGTAACCAGGGGAAAATGTTATAGAAATATTGAATCGAATTGGAGTTGAATATGTGTTTAAGTATGCACAAGTACCGAAAACAGGGTGCAAAACTAAAAGAGAAAATGCAGGTTTCTCTTTTAAAACCATATATTTATTTCCAAATATCTGTGTACTTATTTTCTAAAAAGCAAGTTGTGGTAGAAGGAATTGCAGAAATGTGATGGTTTGAAATTTGGAAATATGACTCAGGTCTCTACATGTTTTCTATGTTTTACTGTTATGCGACTACATGGGTATGTTTTGAAATTTAATTTGGGTGTCTATGGACACCATCCGTGTATGATTCACTAGATATTAATATATTTTGTAATCATTGGCAAACCTTATCATATGTTGATGAGGCATAGGGTGTCTATGGACACTCTTCCGATACTGAGATATAAACACTCAGTGACTGGAATCATTGAAAATAAAATAGTGTCCATGGACACCAACATAATATAATTCTTTTGGCAAAGGTGTCTATGGACACCAAGAAAAGCAATCAGTATTTGAAAGCCACAAATTCATTAGGAAAACATAACGTCTCCAGTATTGTGATAGTGAGGAGTCTATGGACACTCATATGATAGAACCTCCAACGTATACCTACATAATTCCCAAACAATTAAATAAAGAGTGTCTATAGACACCCTCGAACACAGCATATAATACAAGACGGCGTCTATAGACACTGCGATAACGAACACATGAAACAATAAGGTCTGTATGCAGATGAGAGGTGTCTATGGACACTTACAGAATCAAACATCAGATCTTACCATTTATACTGATGCGTATTTATTACCATATTAGTCATTTATATACAAAGCGTTTCGTCTCTTCAGATAAAAATTGATCTGTTTCATCATTTGTAGACAATACAGACATATTGACATATTGATGATCAATCACAGTGTGACCATAACTAACGAAGAACATTCTTGATTCTGGTAAACAAGTGTAACACCAACGTTTGAAAAGGTTAAACAGTTTAGACGTCTAGTCCATATACGCTTGCTACAGATCTTACTAGACTTCAAACTTCAACATAATCAAACAAGCTAGCAAACATTCACTTAAGTTGAATTGCTATCTTAGGTTTAATTATTTACAATATACATTATGGGACAAAATAATATAAATGTATACAATTTTCTTTCTTAAAATAGACAGATTACATATATGAACATTTATCTATATGGAACCAGTAAGTCAAATAATTACATATTACATGTAATGAAATAAATTACTTTAAATGTCTATGATCGTGCGGCAAAAATACAGGAAGTGATTATTATATTTAAACAAGCTAATATGACAAAAAATCAGTATTTTAATAAGGTATCCTGTGGTTAAGTTTTAGACTTCTCATTGTACTCGTACATGTGCAATGGCAATGTTAAGACAAATGAGTGAGCTGGAGGTGTATGAACACGTATATGATACATAAAACAAATACCAAATTAATCAAGATGGTATGGTCTGAATATGAGTTGTCTGCATGTATACATGTAAACTATTTGTTTATTTATATGTCTGGACATACAAAACAATGTCTGAACATTCAAAATGCTCTTTAACTTACAATTTGGATACAATTGATGACAGGCATGATATAACCTTTGCTTGGTCTTGCATCAAAGTAATTATAAGGCTATTTTTTGATATATTAAGAAACCCACTCTGGACTACAAAGAAATTTTCAATGGCAATATTGACTCCCACTTTTGCCTGGTCCTTCTTATTAATAAGACACATATTTTTGCTAATTCGGAGTAACTTATTAAACTCGTCTATCTTTGATAGCTGCCGTTGACAGTAATATATTAAGTCGTCCTCCTTCACCCCTAAAAACACGTAGTCTTCCCACCTAGCACAAACGATCTGCAAAACCAAAACCCACAAATTAAAACAAAATCCCTCAACCAACATTTCAAATACATTAATTAATATATTAAGATACTCTTTTTAAAATGTTTAGTATAAATATATATATTAATTGAGGACAGAACATACCAAACGATATTTAAAATGCAAATATTTTTCTAATTTCGGTTCTTTGAGTTCGACAATTGACAACTGTGACATGACCTAGGCCATTTGTAAACATTTATACACAAGTAAAATTAAAATGTCAAGCAATCAATGCTAAAAATGCGTTAAAGTTTTCCATCCAAAGGTACTTCTTTCACCAGTTGTTTTACAATCAAAGTATTTGAAGAAAAGCTAAGTAAGCGCATAAAATATAGCTTCATATTTCAAATTGAAAAATATTTTACCTCTCGAGATGATGTCTTCCCAGACTTTTTCTGCTGACTCAGGGCAGTGTGCTGAAAGCAAACAGTTTTATTTAAATAAAAATTAAATACTTGACTTCTGCACATTATCATTTCCCCCCTCAATGTATTCCTTCCATTCAATAAATCAAGCTAGATTCACTTTGTTTAACTTGTTGACAGTCTAATTGCTCCTGGTAGAAACATTAACATGTGAACATCTAGAAGGGGTTCAAGGAATTGAGACATAACTGATCAAATCTGGTATCATTTAATGAACATAAATCTTTGTAAAGTCTATACTTTCTTACCCCTCTATCTAAAAAAGTTGTGTATGTTTGTAAAGTATGACACACCACAGGGAAGAACTATTCAAGATATGCACAACTATATTTAGAAGTCAAGACAGCACCCCTTTGTCTTAAAGTCTAGTTTCCCTGAAGTTACCATTCTCCTTTAAAGATTCTTACTTTGCAAATTGTAACAGAACATGGATTTTAGTATGGTCTTCATTAAAAAACAACTATGCATGTGGAAATTCTTTCAAAATCCATAGATTCGCTTTGCCGGTTTTGTTCAAAAAAGCTTTTTACATTAAAAAGTAAGATATGTAAATCCAATTAATGCAAGATAGGTAACTGAAAGTATCAAAACGTAAGAAGGAATTCATATAACATTAGATGAGGCACATTATCACCCTACATATATAGGCAGTAAATGTTACATGGCATTAATAAGACAATGATCATCATTAACAACATCATTTGCTGAGAAAATCAAGAGTATCAATGACCACTAGAACTAAACAGCAACCAGAAATTCAGGATATTACCCCACAAATAAAGAGGAGAAAGTTGAAGAAAGTAAAGTGATATTGAAGTGACTCATTGATTGACTTTAACATAACATAGTATCTATCTTAGATTAACATTTGGATTAGAAATTAGCATTAGCTCATTTATGGGTATTTAATCATAGTCCCTTGCTGAAATTTGGTAAGTCAATTTCACTCTCAATTCTTGACGCATTTTATCAACAGTTAGATAAACCTTATAAGAATACTGTTACCAAAAGTTTTAAATTGACCCTATCATAAGTTATTTTAAAGCCACAAAACTGTATTTCAGTCTTAAATAATATGCAAGGGCAATCTACTGAACATCATGTAAATAGCCCTACAGAAATGTCTGCAGCAGTTATAGCATAGGCAGATATTTGATATCTTGGTATATCACCGCATATTTTTCCAAATACGCATGTTCTAAAGTCATTCATAACTTTTTGTTTATATGGTACTGTCATGTAATTCTTGATGGAAAATATAAAGGATACCTTTATTGTTTTAATCATCAAAAAGTGAATAAATTAAAATCACTACATTCTGAGCATTTAGACTCTAAACTTGACATAATTGTAAAAAAGCCGCATGTAACTGAATGGCAGAATAAATGTGAGACTTTGTTTACTGCTGCATGGAGTAAAGCTGGAGATTTGTTTAAAAGTTCAGTTGGAAACAGCTGTGTCAACTCATAAACAAGTATTAATGTTTTCAAAAATTATTCTCAAATGAAATTCGACAGTTTCAAATTTAGCATAATATTTACCTGTGCACTTATTGCATCACAGAGCTCATTTGTATTCACATTGTCTATCAAATTATCTGTATCCCCTGTTCTGCAATCTGAAAATATAGACAGTAGCCCAACTCACACTACGTATATAATTCCAAGACGTCTTGGCTAAAATGTTTTAGAAAATTAAATTTGAGTTTATAGGAATTATAATCGCATTTAAAAATTCAAATTATGAAGTTCTAGTGTACAGTGTGTCTCATTATATCCGTCCCCCAACCATAGTCTTTCCGAAAGCACCCATACAGCATTCTATACAGCATATTAAATCTTATTTAATTCTTAACATATAGGCCAAATATTGTCATGATTGAACAATGGAAACATAATCTTTGTTATTAGTCACTATCATGATTGGCTTGCTTTATCACGTTACTGACATATAGATTAAAGGCAGAATCTGATCTATAGGGGGTGACAAAATTACAAGCAACATGTATAATTGACCTACCAATCTATTCCTTACAATATCAAATACAATATCTCCCAAAAGATTCACAATATGTTATAAATTGGTGAAGTTATTAATGTTTCAAAGTGCAAAAATGAGTGAAAAATGTTTAAATTCTCCCAAATAATAAGAATGGTAACCATTCTTATAAAAAAATAATACATTATTGTAAAAATCTTTAGTTTTCCTTGAATAAAGTATGCACTTTTGTGATTTTTAGAAAATAGACATGACAAGGAATGACATGAGCCAAAAATATTCTAAAATTGAAACAATTTTTTGCTAAGCCTTCTCGCTATCTCTGATTCTCTCTTTAAAAAGAGGAGCGGCTTGCAATTAAATGTATTGTACCATGGACTTTCGACGAGAAGAGTAGGCAACTTCCTATATTTCATACATAAGCATTGCCTTGGTTTTCAAAATTGGAGAAGATACACATTCCGAGAAAATCTTATTTTGTACTTTCTTGCTCATTTTGAAGGTCTCATGTTATAACACAGAGTTGCATACCCTTATAATTGAAAGCCCATGATTGTACATTTCAAAACAGGAAGTATTTTTTGTCTATCAAAATCGATTTGCACCCTACATCCCTACTTCTTACCCAAATATGTTACTAAATAATAGTATAATCTTTGGTTTTACAAAGTATGATATCTGATAACTGTAAATGTTGTTTTTGGAGCATTTTTATAGCCATTTTGTAGGGATGTACAATCGTTTAATTTAAGTATGACCTGAATCGATTGCAAACATCATTTTTGCACATTTGATGAGATAAACCATTTGTGTCTTATTGTGAAATTATTAAGTTTTCAGGCCATAGTGTATTTTGGTGTTTTTGTGATAATCAATGGAAACAAATTGCCTCTATTGAGATCTGATGGACATGTTAAGTCGATGGTGCACAGCCCAATGCAATTCAATACAACCTTGCTGAACTACTAGTTGACCCCTATCTCAGCCAAATGTATACCCACAGATTTAAACATTTACCCAATAATTATGTGACATCATATTCATCATGTTACACCTAAGAATGATTCATTTTGACCATTGGGGTATTTGCCATTTATCGCACCTCATCCTTAGCATTTCTATGTCTATCGAATTAAGATGTTAACTCACCTTGAGTTGTTGCCTGCGGATCAATCTGTTGGCCGTACTTAGCTTCCCGTCGTCTTTTTGACTCTGCAATACGTAAGCAAAATGCCATCAAGTTCCAATTGAAAAATTGCACAAGGCAAAAATCGTACAATTACTATAATTGTATTACATTTGTCAGTATAGAAATGTAGAATAGGCCTAAAGATACATTTCACTAAAAATGAGACCCAAGTTGCAATTTTTAGTCAAAGCTATGAATGAAATACCTAAATGACACTATTGGGGTAAAACACTACATGGAATTAACAGAATTTTCCATATTCCCCGCTCTCTCATTGGTCTATGCATTACAGTTACAAAAATAAAAGACGTATTCAACAGTCATGCTTATTACAACCCAAAAAGGGTATTCACCAGTAGAATATATTCGTCCAGTACAGTGTAAATTTGAAAACAAAGTAATGTTCTCCCATTTTCTTGTTCTTATAAAACATTCCAAATAAGAAAGTGGGGGATACAAATATTCCATACAATTTTCGGTAAACTTCTATTGCATATCATCACTTACTAAATGCGATATCAATATCTAGAGCATGTTCATCCGTTTCCGTTCGAGCAACATCTCTACTTCGCTTCACACCAGACGTTCCGCTTTGATCAGTGATAGCCTTAAAATAAAATATTATTCTTCTATGGATACGCGTGCAAACATTTTCAGAGTCGAATTGATGAATTATTTCTTTACTGAGTTAAACTGTCATCTATAGTTGATTATACAAAACTTACAAGTGAGGAGTCGGTTGCAGGAATAATCTCGCTGATATCGCTTACATTGCTTTGTTTTTCATAGCCTTCTGACAACCTTTTAAATTGCTTTTCAAAATCTGAAATAAAAGCATTTTTGATAAGCTTTCATTTACCATCCATCCACAGTAGCGACAGCTACGTATTTGGAACCATGTTATTACATTTTTGTTGCATGCAATTTAGGTCGTATTGTTATTGTATAAACAATATGTTTGCCTGACCTTTTTACACATATCATTCTAATTCTAGTTCTTATACGTAGCCATAAAATACTACTATGGTGTATCTTTAAGTAATTATTCAGCCAGTGGTTATATGACTTACATAACTTTTCGTTTTTCAGCTGTCGAATAGTTTCTTTGAAATGTTCGTGCTGTTTCTGATCGAACTCTGCCTCTTTCAACTTGTTTTCAACACCAGTCAAATCAGTCTTTGCCTTTAAATACAATTAATACAATCGTGATTATACAGATAACCAGCTCCCGTACGAGCTGAAGAAACTATCCAACCAATGTAAAACCTTGATGATTAATTCAATTTCTTTCATGTGAACACATACATTTTCTTAACAAGTTAACTATATGCTATCCTTTTTAGTTTTGAATACAAAAGAAGTATCACCAATACACTGTTGTTTTTCTTGGTTATGAACTCAAACGACTTACCACCGTCATTGGGATAACGCTTACTAGTATTAGAAACCTACCTTGGTATACATTGCCGTCATAGCAGTAAGATCTTTATTAGATTTCCGAAGGCTGCTTTTCATATCCAAGTAACTTTTCTCAATCTAAAAACGATATTTTTATTTAGTATTTCAATTGATGTAGAGTTTGTAGGGAATTGTTTGTTAAAATAAATAGTATGTAGTATTAGTATGCTTAAAACAGTCTACACATCAATTAGTCAATTTATCAAGAGGTATCTGCAGCAATCAAGTTTTGAGGGATCGCGTTTTTCTACTATATACCTTTGAGTAGTTATCTGACACTCTCGCCAGGTCATCCTTATATCTCATTGCATTCTGTTCTGCATTGGTCAGTTCCTGCTTACACTGAAATATGGCAGATTGAAGAATTACGGAAAATGTACCGACATATCAAAGTGAGAAGTAAACGTAATAAACATTTTTGTATAGTTTATTACATCCTGATGTAACAAGGAAATGAGCGTTTTAAAACATTCTACGCACAAATCCAACTGAAACATTATCCAAACTCAACCGTAAGCAATTGCATTTCTCAACTAACTTTTGAAATTACTGGTGAAGGTTTATGCATACATACGTATGTTATGCTATGGCTGGTACACGTCTGATACAATATATAGACAGATAAAGGATTCTTCTAATTGTGATCTGAAGAAGTGGATGGAGGGGGGATACCTTATTTTCGCTCGAAAATTCAACAAATCTGGGGGCATGGACCAACCCCCCTTGGATCTACTGTTTGCAGGGTATACTCTTATGTAAAGTTAATTATGATACTAGCGAATTGGAAAATACCATTCTGTATGGGTATTGATTGAAATGCAATTTTAAATCCAGGTGCCCCTTTGAACACCGAAGTGGAATTTAATATCATGTATTGGGCATATAGCATAATATTTTGTACCTGTAAATACTTAGTTGTCATAACTTCCAAGTCGACTTTTAATTTATCCACCACAGTGTCGTCTTTAGGTCCAGATACATTCTAGCAACGCATATAAAAACAATATTATTTGATATATAAAAGAAATACAATGATTACTTCGAAAATAGTGCTTTTAATGAAATGATTGGCTACAATTTCACCTATGTCTTCAAGGCATTTTAGCATACTTCCAGCCATTAGGTGTTGTTCTTAAAACTAATTACTCAGTACTACTTGAAATAAAATGTGGCTAGAAACATGAATCCGATACCCCATGGTCTGTTATGTTTGTGATATATTGTCTGATATCAATTAACTTTGAACTCTACGTCGTTAACACTATTAGAATCATGTAAGATAGTTTAACTAACTTCATGTTCGTCCTGGTTTACAATTTCTTCTATTATATCATCCACATGTTCGGCTCTTGGAGTCTCTTCTGTCGATGTATTTCTATAATAGAGAAAAAACAATGAGACTTGTTAGCATGAACATTTCCGACTTTTTAAATGGTACTAGAATCATTTGAAATATACGTGATTAGCAGACGTATGGATATTAAATATATGCCTTACACTAGAACATCAGTTAGAAAAAGTAATAAAAATTTATTAATGTCCAGAATACATTGTATATAATGTTTACTTTAAGGAGAAAATTCCATTAAGAAATCACTACACTTTTGATTTGAATTATTGAAAATGGTCACGGGCTAAAAATATTGCTTACGTGCATTTCAATCGCAATTGATTGTAATCTATCTGTCCATCTATGCACTGCCTGATAATGTGAGTGGCATCCTCCAGTGGTGGGGTCAAGAGGCAAGCTATGTGGTGTTTTTTCAACACCGTTTTTCCTTTTGGTTGTTTAGGTTGCTTCGTAATCTCACCCTTCCTCCACTTGATGTCAAAGTGTTTCAACTCTTGAAATGATTCTGTCGGCCATTGTGCAATACGTATTGCCACTCCGTATGAATTATTGAAATCACGTCTCTAAAAGTAAAGGTATATTGTGCAGATAGAACACTTTTTTCTTTTATTGCCTAATATATATATAGGAATTTGCAGGATATGAAGTTTAAAAATCGAAATGTCTACAGGGGCGTATCCAGCTTTCAGTCAGGGCAGGGGGGGGGGGCGATCACCAAAAAATCCATTTTTAGTCAGGGGATGCGATTGTGACACAAAAAGCCAACAATTAAGATTTATCTTGAATTTTACAAAAACTTCCTTCATAATAAATTGAGGTAGAAGCTTCAAATAAAAAGCATTTTAAAGCTATTTTCTTCTCAATCAATCACCAATTGCACCCCCCCCCCCATGGCTACGCCTATGGTTTAATTGAAATGTAAAAACTCTGCATTGAACTACAAGTATTAAAAGTTGCTTTCACAAATAGCTGATACAGATATTCTATCTACTAGTATACTCATATGAACAGAGATATAGAATTTCAAACTGAAACATTAAGATAATTTGTTCTGACGCTGAAACAATATTTATGGCCAGCTAAATTTCTGAGAATTCAATGTGTTTCATTCCTTTACTCCTGGACTATATAATTTCCAAACAAGTTGCCCCGGAGCAGTTTACATATTTTTTCAATATGTAACTGAGGCCCGGGTATACTTTCATTAATGAAAAGAATTCTTATCCATAAAAATCGGCACAAATGAATGATAACATAATTAGGTTCGTATTTTACCTAACTTTCACCTGTTTTGTGGTTGAACGGAATTGAGTTGATGCAGTTTTGAAATAGATAACTTTATCATTTTACGTCGTCCATCATCATAAACTTACATGATATATAAGAGAGATTTCGCACATACGTGAAAGTACAACTTATACGTATACGTATACTTTAAAGGGTCATGTCGAACTATTATATTTACTAAAATCAATTTCAAATTGTACTTAATGGAACATAACTATTCACGATATAGAAAAGCTCCATCAACTAGAGACTGTGAATGCACTGTCATCTGCACGTGTAGATTATGCACATTATAGTTAAATGCTTGCTTCCGTGTCCTAGTAGTTGTAGTGTATTATAAACACGATCCTTTAAAGTGAGTCATGATCCTTTAAATAACATACATAAACAAGTTGATTATTTCAAAGTTTTCATGATCAGTATAAGTTCAATGAACTTACAAAACGGTATATATACGAGATGATAAACGTATAGAGTTGGATCTCCGTATAAAGCTGTGTGGAACAATTGACCGTAAGCATTTTTTTTAAATAATTTGCTGAGTAGGAACAGTATCCAATCAAATACGTTAACCATCAATTTGAAACACCAATCAAACCAGAAGATTCTAGCAATTTCTGGAAACGACCCATTCAGTAGCTCAACAAATGACATACAGGGTGTTTCATAACGAGCATCTAAAAAAGGCAATTTGAGAAGAGATAGATCTATAGCATACGTACTATATATGAGCCTATTTTATTCTAGACAAGCACATTTGGATCAACTAAACATGCTACAATTCATGAAAGAACAAAGGCATCCCTTTGACCTTTATTTATTACAGTCCGAGAAGATCTTTCCTGACGAAAAGCCCACATTATGAAACACCTTGTAAGTTTGCTTATACGTATAAGTATACGTTATAAGTTGTAAATTCACGCCGTGCGAAATCTCTCTATTATAACGTAGTTTATACTTATAAACAATGAGTATACAGAAGCACCTATTTCGTCTTGCCATTATTTTAAAACGGGTTCATGTAATCATAAAATATTGGATAAAAATGACTAATAATTTACATTTAATTGGTCCAGATTAAGTCGGAATTTCGTATTTCAAACCGACCTAGGACGCTTCAAATGCAATCTCATTTTAAAATTTTCTTGGGGGAGAACCCCCCCAAACCCCCCTCGAACTCGTTCGCTTCGCTCACTCGTGGCGTACTCTCACAAAATACCCACGCTACGCCTCTGCACCACGCATTAACATCTCAGTACACTAGCGGACATTTTAAACATTTTTAACGTATTCCTGGGCCTCAGATATGGAATTGGTACGCGCGGCCGCGTAGTTGGTGTGTGCCTTGTTAATAACCTTGGTGGCCAGTGCTAGGCGCTGCATGTGTATGCAATCTTTGGCATAGAAGTCGGAATTTCATCTAATATAAAAGTTCCGTATTCCGCAAAGATATAGTTCAAGTTATTCCTTTTAATTGAAATATGAAATGTCATATGGATTGTATATCTGAAGCTCTATATATTGGTAGGTGTCATGCTCATCTATTGCATTGCGTAAATACGGTCCATTGTCTGAGTGATTCATACGTTCGATCAAATGTTATTTTGGGGTATTAGTTCACCGAGTCATCTTATTGAGATTTTAGATACAGCATGTCTGATCTATTTACAATATGTAGATTTATTTATCAATTTAAAAAATGTAATTCTTATAAGTTTGCATTTTTGCTAGATTAAAAAGACCACCTGCATTAAAGTTGATTTATAATTAAAATTAATGAGATGCATATTGGATGATCTCAACACGATAAGTACCAAGACCATTAACAGTTAGAATAACACAACCTAATGTCCAAGTGGCAATTTATGAGATAAGCAAGAACATTTACTGTGAAATATGGACACTTTGGTGTTGCATTTAATTTACAACGAGTGGTGCCTTACAGAAATTTGAGAACTATGGTGATAAGCGGAGATTGTTTGAGCATTTTAAAAACTCCATTTTGTGTAAAAATGTACAAGAACAACATTAAAATGAATGTTTACTTATTTCTATGTTGCTTGTGGACATACCTTTAGAGTTGATTGATTAAATTCAAATGTTAACGCAATTTAAATCATAGCACGAGGGACATCATACAATCAAATATTTAAAAAAGGCTTTATTTGCAAATATTTTTTTGGCTGAAAATAAGAACCTTCTGTTGTTGAAATTAATCCATAAACTCTAAAAAAGGATTAATTATACCTGTTTAAACAAAATTCATTTCACAGATTGAATAATTAGGATTAAGGGTTTAAGCATATTATCTGTCATGTCTCAAAATATTTTTGCATCAGTTTTCTATATCATGCACCAATTTGCTCAAAGCTTATAAATCAATTTGGTGATAAATCCAAAATTTAACACTACGTTAATCATAGCATGGGGGAAATTTCTCTATTTCCAGCTCGTTTTAAATAACTATCAAAGAAACAAAAGTTGGCCTGTCTTGCTTCTGCGAGATTTGATGATTACAGCTGAGTGTGACTGGGACTGTCAAGTTGCGTCAATGGGTTTTACTAAAACGCAGCGTCTTAAACTGACCATCGTTATCCCGGGGATCGCGGTGTATACACTTACACCCCTATCGGCAAGAACCAGCTTATGCCATCTACCAAAACGCACATGCCTTTTTGGCAGAGGGATCCAGGACATAAAAAGCATATTTTACGTAGAGCTTTTAACCTCGGTAATTTTATGTTTCAATAATATAAGCGAAGATATTTTCATATTTCATTAATTACGTAGCCCTCAATGTCTCCAGAGTGGACCTAACATATCATCTGTATTCGGTTACTTTATCTTTCGACACTCTATTTTTTGAAGTTATACTTTGACATTGTCACTTGACATCAACCGCTTATTGCATTTCTGAGAATACTTTATATACCATTTATCAATTATACCAAATTTCAAATCTGGGCACTATGCCAGGGCGATCGCACCACCTGCCCATTACCAATGAAAATATAACCATGAGATAAAAGAAGAAAGGAGCTTTAAAATGCTTTTTATTTGAAGCTTCGAGCTCAATTTTGAAGGAAGTTGCATCAATTTTTGTAAATTTCAGGAAAAATCTTAATTTTTTGGCTTGTTTATGCCACAGCCGCACCCCCCTGACTGAAAGCTGGCTACGCCCCTGTCAAGGTTCAGTTGCTCCACAATAAAATGACGTTTTAGTTATTAATTAATTATAACTAAGTTCATAACTTTATCCCTTATCTGTGGAGCAACTGAACCTTGAGAATCAAGATTGCTTAAACGATCCAGACAAGGCATCGTGGCCAGATTTATAATTTGATAGGTATCCTATATAACCTAAATAGTCTTATATGTATGCCGAAAACTTGGTACAGATCTGTACTTGCCTTCAGGCTATTCATTTACTCCTGTTGAATACTTTACTGTGTTTAGAATAAAATAATAAATGGTCCAGATACTGTTTTAGGATCTTTCTTAAATCCAGCCAGAAACTGCACCCAATATTGAATTGCTACTATATCTAGGTTATTTGAAAATATACTAAAAAGTGAATACATTAAACATGAGCTTATGCCCATGCATTAAAGAATGATCAAATTCTTATAAATACCAAGATTGCTTTTGTACTGTTTTTCTTTGGAGAATTAATTTGTTAACTTATTAATCATCACTTGCCCAGGGTACTTGATTAGCAGGTCTGCATAATAACTTTATGATTAGATGAACTTGCACCATTTTCAATATTAGAATAAAACCTGGATATATCAGAATTTCAGATAATTCTGATATCCGTTAATGTTCATCCAGTGTGGGCAATAAAAAGTAGGAAGGCACTGTTTTCTTCAAGCAATTCCGGGTGTTAAAAGATTCAAAAAAAGAAAAGGAAAAAATTTTGAGAAGTCACAAATTCATAAGAAATTTGATCGCCGCAAAATTTAAAAAACTGAGAATTAGTGAATATTCATAGCCGCGAAACTTCGAAATTGCAAAAAAGTGAAATATAATAGCGTCAAATATAAGTTAGAGTAGAGTATTATATTATAAACTGTTTATGTTTTCTTATTTCCAAAATTAATAAAATCTAGAAGGACCCCTCCCCTTCTGATATTAATAGCATAGATATGTGATAAAATACAAATATAATGATACAATATAATATGAAAGTCAAGCAAACCTCCCCCCCCCATCCTTATTAGAACAAGCTCCCAGAGATCTTCTTTATTTGAACTCATTTCAAATAATGATAATAATATAATTTCAGATTGAAAATCATCAACTTCTAAGATGGTTAGAATGGAACGTTAGGAGTTGAGAATCATGCTTAGCGATTGAAAGCTTCTACACAAACTCCTCATACACAGTAGTAGGCTTAAATTTCAAAATCAAAGCAATTAACGATCAGCTGTTTAAGATAAGGTGACAGCCTCATTGATTTTAGCCAGAGAAAAAATTTGAAAATTTAATGTCTTTCTGGGTCTAAATTTGGCGTTTCCATGAAATTTGCGAGGGTTAAAGATAAAATCAATGCTAAAATCGTTTGGTCTTATTTACCACTTACCTTTTGGATACCCCGCACTTGTTGGCACGTCGCCTTCCATGCTTCGACAAGTTTTCTATCATTAGGTGGGTCAACTGTTGTGGTCTCTATTTCTGACTTGCCCGAGAGTTGATATAGAGCTGCTCTCATTTCGCATATATTTTCCATGTAGGATTCCTCTTTGCCACTTTTCCGCACAATATTGTGGAGATTTGCGAGGTGCCTCGCAAGATGGTTTGGCAATCCACAATACACGATTGCATCTCTAAATCGAAACATGTTTTTTACATGTTCCGAAATAGTGTCATCGTTTAGAATAGAAAGGAACGCTTCTCTACTATGGTTTCCCCCTATTACTTCTAATATTGTTCTTTCCCTTGAAATCACTTCTTTCGTAAATTGTTTGACATTTGGCACATTGACCAGTATAAGGTGAAAATATCCACTGGGGTTTTTGAGGAATGTTTCTTTGAGACTCTGGACATGGTTTGGATCGGGAGGGCGCACGGATCTTTCCCAAGAAGGGGCAGTCAATTTACGCACATCAACTTTGAAAATTCCACAATAGAAGTCAGACGGGTTCTCTTTCTCCGATGAGGGGGCTTTGTCATCGGGTGTCTTTAACTGGCAATGTTCCTCTATCGCAGTACAAAGTGCTGATCTGGAGGTTCTTTCCCGGACAGTCAAGCCGTCAAATATAATTTGACTGTCTTCAGAATTTGGTGTGAACGACTTTAGTAACAGGTATATCGTCGTGTTGTTTACATCTGTTGCCTGGAAACGTGTAAAAAACGTATTAGAGTGAAAACCAATTAACTGCTTCACACATAAAAGTTACGCTCCCAGATTGGGTTAATTCTAAATGGTTCAATTACTCTTTCTCAATGCACTATGAAGAAGTATATTTACGTGAACGTTTTTTGCACGTGCCATATTGTATAAGAAGAATCACACAAACGCCCTTTATACAACATCATACTTATAAATAACAATAATGAACATTATTGCCACCTTGCCGATCCTTTTAGCGTATTAATACAGTTAAGTAGCATGAAACAAAGTGAAATCCTGGACCGGACCTTCTAGTAAAGCTTTTAATTGCAATTTCAGACAAACTTTTTAAATTAAAAAGCAGACAATCTCATGTTTTACCTTAACGGCAGTTCTAGCGTTTGCAGGCTCTATTGTTTTTATTTCTATGGCTTCGTTATTTTCCCTCTCTAGCCATATTTGCTCCTCTTTTTGGGTAATCCACCACAAACAAGTGTTTATCATGTTATCTGCCATGTTAGTTCAGATGAAACAAGCGCAAGTATCCTGGGTTCTTGTGCGCATGCGCTTTGACTGAACTAGTTTGAGACCCACAAGTCATTCTTACTTGCAATGGCGTTTCTCTACTGGTTTTTGATATGGCTTTGCCCATCATTTTATTTACTTCCATCCCCTCAAATGGATTTTAAAATCGTCAATGAAACACAAAGGAGTGAAAATGCTATCGGTGACAAGATGCGACCATCATCTCACGATAAGGAAGACAAACGAAATTTGCCACGATTTTATCCCGGTGACGATGACTTTAAGAAACAATGGCCATGGAGACCACTTTTTTATCCTACATCAAACTGGTTTGATTATGCCGATGATATGTCATTCAAATTAGACGAGTCTTTTTATTTAATGGAACTCCAAGATGCTCTACCATACGTCTATGCCTTGATAAACTCCGTCGACTTTATGACAGTTCGTAGAAATTTTCGTAAGTTTATGATGTACAACGACGAGGATATGATCATTGAAAAACGTTGCACAATAATATTACCAGATGGAGAAAAACTAATCGCTAAAATTCGAGTCGGTATAGATGTTGCCGATTTCAAACACATCATTCACGACAAGGTTTCCACACATTTAGGAATACCCCAGGAATTACTGCAGTTGTACATCAACGGTAAAATGGTATGTTGCTTTATGTAATACGTTTTGTAATTATTATATGATCTTTTAATTCTCGAACGATGGTGTTAAAGAAGCTTGCAATCGAATAAGACAGACAGGGGCGTAGCCAGCTTTCAGTCGGGGGGGGGGCAGGGGGGGTTGGTGCGATCGCCAAAAAAATCGGTTTTCAGTAAACAAGCCAAAAAATAAGATTTAATTTTGAATTTTACAAAAATTGATGCAACTTCTTTCGAATTTGAGCTAGAAGCTTCAAATAAAAAGTATTTTAAAGCTCTTATCATTATCATTATTATATATGGGGGGGGGGGGTGCAACGCACATATCACACACACCCCTGGCTACGCCTATGATAGGATACACCGCAACTTACAGTTGTGAAATAGATTTTATTGTGTTATGTGTAGTACTAAGCAGCCAAGTAGTTTTTACAATCATTTACATTGCATTACAGATAATTCATCAAGAGCAGATCGAGCACGATGAGATGAATATTTACGTATTGATGGGCTTGAAAGGGGGTGTGCGACAAACATCAACTCCAAGTAGAAGTGATATTTACACGCAACTTGATAGCACCCATGAAAGCTTCGCTTGCAATTGCAATGGTGCATGCAATTGCCATATGTTTACGGGGAATCTTTCACCTATAACAAATCAGCACAAAGACGACGCTAAAACACGTGCAAGTTCAAGTACACCATTAAGAGACTCTTTCGTATATGAGAAGTCGCCCAATTTTCAGAGCTCTTCTACAATTCGGGATTCAGTCTACTTCGAGCCCTCATCTCCAATTGATTCCGTTTTCCAAGAGAAGAATACCTCCCGGGATCTGATTAATTTTGAACATTCATCCCCGATCGATTCAAACAATGGTATCAGTCTTTCTAAAGATCAACATCCACTATATGGTTCCGAGGTCGAAAAACGCCGTAAATATATTGACAATGTTACCCTAAAACGATCATTACGAGAGTCAACACAATTTGAATTTTCATCGCCTTTGGAGGAAGATAAGACACTGGTATCTAATGGCTGTGAAACAAATGTATTTTCATTTGAAAGTGAAAGTGATTCCAGTGTGCGCAGTTGTCAAAGGGTCGATAAATCTAAATTGAACAAACGACAATTTAAAAGAAAAGTGTCAAAGTCCTTATTCCAGCCAAGACAATCTAATGATAACAACACCGTTGTTCCACCGTACTTTGTGAGGCTCGAAGAAAGCTCGTCTTCTGAATCAGATTCGTCTGAATCAAGCGTGAATTCCCTTGAGCATGTGGGGTCGGATTTGGAAGTTGTTCAACCAAAACTTGATAGGTCGGATGACAAAACAATTGAAGAGGCTGTCGAAATAGGTATGTTGTTTATTTACACTATGAGCACACCATATACCATGGCAAAGTCATATTTTATTCACGGGGCCCCCAAAAGTAAAACAGGTGCTATAAATCATACTGGTGTTTGAAATGAAAAAGTATGGAATAATTGTGATCCAGTTTAGTAAAAAACAGTTTGAAAATGAAAATGCATTTTTAATTGATTGATTTATCATAGTGCCTTAAGAGCGGTGGCACAGAAAAGTATGGTGCGAATGACAAAAATCATAGATAAAAATACATATCATAGATCAGGCCAAAACGTCCCTTCCTCATTTTATTGGAAAGAAATCTTAGGTACTGGCAACATGGACGCAGAAACTACTCCACAAACAAAATCATCAGTATTCCACCCCTACCAGATAATTTCACTCTCTAATTGGTTTTATATCAAAGTAATCTTTCCATCAATTAACACCTCATTATGTTAACATGTTTAAGGTCTCTCTTGACCATATTGCACTAATATTTTTCAATTTTCTTGCATAGTAAATGAGAATTAAAGTGAAAAGTTCAACTTTGTCTGTCTGGATGGTGTACACAAATTGAAACTTAAAATCAAAAAACTTGAGATATGTATTTTTTATCATGAATTGAAAGTAGCATTTAAGAAAAGTTTTCAATTTGGAATAATTAAAAAGTAAAATTAGGAACTCATCAAAATTATTAAAAAGTTATAATGATTTTAAAACAGTAGGGTAATAGAAAATAAAATGGATACACATTTAACACATTAAACCAAGCATTTCTCTATAGATTTGAAAGTGTTGATTTCACAGTGAAACTTCAGATGTCTTTTTCTAATTGGTTGATGAGCATGAGCCGTTTTCACAATATTAAAGCACAGAAATTCTTCTTTATCATTGTCTAAAAATGAAACATGTGAAAAATACATTAGTATAAATATAATGAATTTAAGAATTTTATTTAAGAGGCTTAATTAAAACTCTGACCATAGCTTAGCAGTGATTACAGTGAGAAGTAAGAGATAAACAACACACAGGCACTGGAAAGTGGTGTAATTAATCATTTAATCTTCAGCAGAAGCAGATACACGCGGTACTAACTTCGACCGTTAATTTGAATTTTTGACCTACTGGATGTTTGAAAATCAAGGATTACGAGTCTCATAATGCACCGTTTTTCTTCAAACTTGATCCATTCAAAGCATAACAAAAATCCCTTTCTGTTGGTACATTATTCTTCTAAACAGAGTCCCTTCTTCCAGCGGCATTTTGGTCCCCAGCTGTAAGAAGGCCTTCTAACAGCTGGGGACCAAAACACTGCTAGAACGAGGAACTCTTTACAATACAGTAATGCACCGACAGAAAGGCAATTTTGTTTTGCTTTTAATGGTATAAGTTTGAAGAAAAACGGTGCTGTATGAGACTCGCAATCCTTGATTTTGAAACATCCGGTAGGTCAAAAAATTCTAATTAACGGTCGAAGTTAATACCGCGTGAGATAAGCTTTGAAAAGCGAATGTCCTACTGATATGTGCTGTGCATTATATTCCACACTACATTTGAAAGTTAATGGTTCATATAACTGCAAAATTATTTACCGATCTGTAATGGCTTAGAAGAGTACTCGTCAATTATTTAATCGAGTCTAAGTGTATAAAGTCTGATAGATGACATGCTGTACATTTGATGAAACCAACATAGCTGCACACTTCCCTTAGATCAATATTCAAATAGGGTTTCAACAAGTCCCTATGTGGAGATTATAGATCCATGGCCCCATTTCAAACACATCAAATTTGTGAATCTTGAACACTTAGTTGACATTTTGCCAGTAAAAGACAGCGTTAGGCTGTTATCAGCTTCTGGAGATATTTTTGATACTCGGTAGTACAGTAGTAGCCTTGCCCAAGTCGGTATTTTTTTACTTACCTGATCTTGAAATATTACCATAATAGAAATCAAGATAAGTAAAAGAGACCGACTTGGGCAAGGCTATTACAGTAGATATTTTCATGAAATCTGGAATAAATTGGTGAAAATATGTTTCAATAGTTTTTAAAGGAGGCCGAAACAAAACAAAAGCAAACAAAGGGAACATATGTACAAAACAGTGTTTGAATTCATTGATAATATCATAATTATTGACATGTGGTTTCTCACAGTGCAATTTTATGTAAATACATGACGTTGTTTGATCACTTTAAAGTAATTGTACATGTGATAGAGAGATGAAGCCGCTCAATGATGAATTGATTATGAATATAAAAAATCCCAGAAAACAGAAGAGATTTAATCTTCATGATATTAATTCCATTAATTGTTGCATTGGTTAATGTAATGATTATTCTTATTAATGATACACCCCCTTTTCCTTGAGGTAGAATAATGATACTGCAATATGCCATGCAGTATCCGAGGAGGTGTGGGCTCACTGTTTGGGATATCAACAATTATAAAACTGTGCTACACTTTCATGTATAGAACATGGAAAGTCTCAAGGGGTTGGCCTTGGGAATCTTAACCGTATTTTCTAGTTTTTTAAAAACAATTGCAGTAATTTCAGCAGTGATTCTAATAACGTTGTAAATATTATCGCAGTACTCAAACTGAACTTCAGAACTAAAACTGCTATCATGATGCAATTTCCAAATCGTCTGTAACTCTCTTACTTGGCAAGTTTTTGTCTGATTTTAAAGAGTTGCATTTTTAAAGAAACAGCTCTTTAGAAGAGAACTTTTAATGAAAATGGGATTGCTTCAACAAGACAAAATATATATGGGCTGTATTCTCATTTGGTTTCAATTACGCGGGTAATCGTGTCATTTAAAAAGCCGCCTCTTTTGATTAATGGAGAGGTTAAGCTAACGATGTTTTTCACAACGTAACCGTGAACGCAAAGTACAAAAATTAACAATTGAATGTATCGAGCGCTCATAGTTTTATGCGCGCTTAGTCTACTTCAGATACTCTTTCAGCTTCAGAGTTTCGGGTTTAGAACGGGAGATTTGAATATTTGACGTTGGGTCAACGGGAACCATTTTACTCGTGTCTATTGAACACTATGCTGTCAATTTTGATTTCGATGCACAGTTGAATTCTTGCTGAACACGATGGTGTATGTCATGCATGATTTAGCGCCAAAAATCTTACGAAACGAGCTCGTTTAAAATATGTATTAGAAAACCAGCTATAAAACCGCATCAATGACATACTATAGAATCATTACACGCTATGGTGTAGTCTAAACAAACACTGGATTTGAACGGCTATTTATATGAGAAGGCTACATGAATTTGTATATGGTCGAGTGATACGTACAGGTTCAGTTTCGATTATATATGCAAAGCTTAACCTCTCCATTGTTTGCATTCTGCACATGTATTTATATTAGTTATCCGCGAAGAATTTCCTGACCATGGTAAACATTGGGCACATTTTCTGAAAAATCTGAAAAATCTGTTCAGTGACCTTTCCCAAGCTCCTACTTTTAGCTATTTTTTAGCTACATTTTCAGAGGGCTGAAAAAGTTATTTCATCATGTTTAGGGTCATTCTGACTGCATGTACATTGTGATCCTGGTCATGTAAATGATACGTGGAACTAGTTTAATTGACTGGAGTTCAAAACAGAACTCTGTTATCTTTGTTCAAAAATGTCTTTAAATGCAGCAATGTTTTGTCACTTCCTGTTTTGTTATTCCCTGTTGAGTACCACTATATATTTTCCCGATAGTTCGAGTTATTTTGTATACTTATATTCAGTAAGTAAGGTTAACATTGAATATATTAAACGTCATCCCGTCTTCCAACGTGTTAAATGTAAGAAAAGTAGTTCTAAATAAATCTGTGTATAGCTAACTCTTGCATCTATGTTTATTTCAGCAAAGAACAAAGGCGCCAGAACATCAAAAATGCTTATACGAAGTATTCAGGGAGAGTCTATAAAGAATTGCATAGCTACAAACCACTGTTCAAATCGATGTCATGAAATACTGACATTTAATGAGATAAAACATGCAAGGGAGTCCTTTTGGACAAAAAATTTTATTCAACGTAACCAATGGTTACTTTATGAAATAAGGCTTTCAAAGCATGGAGTTGATAAACAATCGTTTAGAGTGCCTACATCATCATATTCAATAAATGTATGCTCACTTTGCTGGAGAGCAATTTACATGATCCCCAAGCATGCATTTTATAAATGTAACAATAAAGTGGCGGAGGGATTTTTAAATTCAGCAAGAAGTTACCGGACCAAGCGGTTTTCAAGGGATGCGAAAGTTGCAGCATGGTTCAGCAACTATGTAACATTAGGCGGTTGTCGAATGCCGCACAAGAAAGTAGACGAAATCTGGCTTCCCTACAAGACCGAGTGGAAGGATGTTTACTCAAAATATAAAGAGGACATGGTTAGGAAAGATGAAATTGCTGTTTCTTACAGTTCTTTTAGGAACACAAGAAAGAAATATTTTAGCCATGTAAAGATTAAAACAGTGAGTCATTTTCTAGTACCAACATAATGTATCAACTTGTTTGACCACACTTATTTGTTTTTGATATTTTCAGTCATAGTACCTCAGTCGTACCTGTACGCAGATGGTTATTTAACACAGTTAACAAATATTTCTTTCATGACCAGTACATCAGTTATGAAATATAATACAGTCATAGATATCCGACATTCTCAACATTCATCAAGAAATTGTGATATACTGTATTGTACCTTGTAGGTCTAAGTGCACGTTGGATTAAATCTTGGAGGATTTCATCCTAGTTCTAAATGCGCACATACTTAAACAAACTAAAAACAATTAATGTTCTAAAAGCCATGTCTTCACCATTTCTGACTTGTTTTGATGTCCACCTTAGTAGGGTTACTCAATCGTTTGCATTTATGTGCAATTTAGGCAAATAAATTATATAATTATAATGATTTAACATATTCGTATATGTACATTATTTGGTTCCTTGACGTTTTTGTTGATGTGCTTATAATGAATGATTCCAGACAAACTCTTTTAGTAGATGCGCCAGATGCACCTTATTAGAACGACAGGAAGAGGGTGCGAAAACCAAAGAGAGAAAATT